GGAACCGAACTCACGACCTTGCGCTTGCCAGGCAGGCACTTTACCGCTGAGCTAAATCCCCAGCCCTCCCTGCTTTCTTTGTAAGTGATCTCCTACTTCGGGAGAGTCGGGAATGAGAATATGGGCCTGTGTGGTCCAAAAGGTAACCAGCCACTGGGGGCTGCTGAGCACAGTATTGGAGATGGGTTGATCCAAACTGAGATATGTTAAGTGTTCAGCACCCACTGGACTCTGAAGACTGAATATAAGGAATACAAAGTTGCTCTTAATTTTGTATTGTTACAGTTGAGATGAATGATTAAGCTTAATTTCACCTCCTCAGAGAAGGTCTCATTATGTTCCAAGGATGCCCTTGATCTCAAAATCCTCCTGCTTCAGCCTTCTGAGTAGCTGGTATTACAGGCATGCACTACCTCATCCTTTCACTTTTTCACAAGGAAAATACAGCTGGGAGTGTATCTCCGTGGTGGAGGGTTTGCTTAGCACGTACAAGGCCAAGTTCAGTCCCCAGTACCACCTGCCCACCCCAACACATAAAACACAACCCAGTTTTAACCACGTTCTGCAATTCACCATTAGAAAACTAAAATACTTGCAGGTCACATTCCTTTCCACTGGACCGTGCTGACCTCAGCCAGTGTAAGGCAAAGATCACTGGCTCTGACTCCGACGCGGAAAGGATGCGTGATGGCTGGGGGGAGGGGGGGGGCGCGGGGAGAGAGACCCTTATTCCCATCCTGCCTTCCACACTGCCTGTGAGCACAGGCTGGTGAGGGACCCTCCCAAGTCCGTTTCCCCATCCACTGGGCACTGTGGTGCTCCAGAGCAGCTGCTTACCTCCAAGTTTCTTTAATGTGAAAAAGCTCATGGGCAAGTGGTGCGGGGAAGGTGTTATACCCTCATGTACTTTTTCTCAGCATGTTAATGATTTCAAATGAACAGCAGTGAACGTCCTACAATTACAACAGCTTTAATGATATGTGAAGACCTTAAGGAAAACCAACCAACCAATCCCGTAGTTCCTTCCTTGGGTTTAAGAAGCTAGTGTCTAGTGACTTGAAGGGTTACATTTTCCACCACAGCAAACAGGCTGGGAATCTGAATGCAGCTGAAAAATCTAGAGATTTCTAAATGCTCTTTTAAAATATTAAATTAAGCAGGGTGTGGTGGTGCATGTTGAGTCAGAGGCCAATCTGGGCTACATAGTGAGTTCAAGGCCAGCCTGAATGACACAGTGAGACCCTGTGTCAAAAAACATCATCAACAAAAAGCTGAATTTGTTTGTTATTTGGTACAGGAATTGAACTCAGGACCTTGCACTTGCCAGGCAGGTGCTGTGCCACTGAGCTATCTTTCCAGCCCCGCAAAAGCTGAATTGACATGGCTATTGCTAGGTTTACAAAAAACCTAATTTTGGTGAAACATGGGTTGACTCATATTTATAGAAAGATGCCTACAGACATAAAAGATATCTCATTTTACTATCTACACAACCAAATTATTGTTCTAATCATTTCCCATAAAATCACTGGAAAAATTAAGTGTATTTTCTGGTTCTGTTTAAGAATCGGAATGGAAACCGAGGGTCCCCTTGTGGTCCTGAGTCTCGGAGTACAGTGTTGCCCTAAGCTCCCCTGTAAGACTGGGCTCTGAAGACAGACAGGGAAGTTGTGATCCGATCAGGCTCCAGTTTTGGAAAAGAGAAAAGGGATAATCATAAAGAAAAAGAAACAATCTTTAGGAAAAGTTTCTATTTTCTACTCGGAAAATACAACCACTCTGCGACTGGGGCTCTTAGGTCCACTCAAGTCTGCCAACCACTACTTTAGGGGAATGGGATTCTAGG